CCCAGGCCGGACCCCGGCAGACCTGACCCCCGCAGACCGGACCCCCGCAGACCGGACCCCCGCAGGCCGGACCCCCGCAGGCCCGCACGGTGGCGGCCTCCCCCCCACTCCGCAGAGGCAGCCACAAGTTAGCCAGAGACCCAGGCGGGCGGCTGGCCTGGCCGGGGTCAGGTAGGGAAGGCCCCGCCAGCCGGGCAGGCTCTGCGTGGCAGCCCCACCCCAAGCATTCAGGAACTGCCTGGACCAGCCAGGCCTTGTCTCAAGAACAGGAAGTGAAGGAGCCGTGCGGGGCACAGCCAGCAGCCAGCAGCCCTGCCCCCCTCAGCATGACTCTTCTCTTGTGCCAGGGCTGGGGCTGGAACCCAGGGCCTCCCTCACGCGGCCGCCCAACTTCTCTGCTTCTCTGCTCACGACTTGAGCCACACCTCCCGTTCCGGCCTAAGGGCCTCTGTGGCCCAGGCTCTCTCAGCTGCAGTCCTGGGATCTCGGCCTCCGGGTAGACCAGATTGTGGATGAGCCACTGCCACCTGGCCTTTTCCATCTTTTTGGTCTGAGACTGGGACTCAAACTCATACCCGAGACTTTCATTCATTGGCTAGCACTACCAACTGAACCACGCCTCCAACCCGTTTTTCTTTTTCATTTCTTGTTGATTGTGGGGCCTGAACTCTGGGCCTGCGCACGATCTCTCAGCTCTTCAGCTCAAGGCTAGCGCTCTGCCACTTGAGACAGAGCAGCGCCACTTCCGGCTTTTTCTGCTTAATGGGGTGCTGAGGAATCCAATCCAGAGCAAGCCTCATGCATGCAAGGCAAGCACTCTACCACCAAGCCCCCTTGCCAGCCCCATTTTTCTATTGGGCTTGAGCTGAACAACAGAAGCACAGGCACACACTGTGCTGGGGTGCCCCCAAGTTGCCGCAAGGCCACCGAGGGCTGGACACAGGCCCAACGCAGGGACTGTGTCGGGGGGCTGCCCGCAGGCCCTGCTTGGAGCACGACGCCCAGGCGGTGAGGCCCCCCTCCCCCACCAGAGGGCAGAGAAGAGCCTGAGCCTGCAGGGGGCTGGGCTGTCCCCTGGGCCGCAGGTCACTGGGCCATTAGGCACCAGCAAGGGCACGGGGGGCACTGAGGCGAACTTAGGGCTAAAGCTGGATCCGTTTGGGCAACAAAATGAGGTATTAATGATACTGCGGTGCACACCTGGCCACCCAGTGTGCAGGCCGAGGGGCCTTTGCAAGCACCCCCCCCACACACACCGAGGAAGGACAGAGGGGGTGGCTCACCCACGTCTTCTCCCACACCCGGGCAGCAGACAGAAAACCCAGCCTCGCTCCCCAGCAGCCAGGCCGACACAAGACAGCCCATGCTCTGAGGAGATGCAGGGTGGCGGAAGCGCTCAGTGACAAGCACCCCGTGTCCCCGGGAGAGGAGCTCCCAGGAGTCTTCACAGACATTCCATGAACTTACAACAGTCCTGAAGTTTATTTCCTCTTTAAAAGAGACTGTGGTACCAGCTCCTCACCACGCATCACCAAAGTCCAAAGAGGGCTGCGCGCCAGGTGAGGGTTCCTTCAAAGCAGCCACAGAAGCTCTGTGGCTGAGCAAGAAGGCTTTCCACCCGGGGGGTGTGCAGCAGGCCTGGCCAGTCAGGGCGCAGTCACTTCATGTACTTATCCTGCTGGTCGGCCAGGATCTTGGCGGAGGATTTGGCATCGTAGAAGAGCTCGCTGATCTCTTCCACGTGCTCCTTCTCAATGCTGTCCTTCCCGTTGATCTTCGCCAGCAAGTTGGCTGGAGTCAACAGCTGCACGGAGTACCTGCAGCGGACAGACAGAGACCATGGCAGAGCAGGCGCCCCTGCCGGAGGGAGCCCAGGCCAGCAGACAGCAGACAGTGCCGGAGCCGCCCGCCTGACACAGCAGCATCCCCGGTACTTGTCGGCTGCAGAGCCGCCAGGCAGGCGGCAACCCCACGCCAGGAGGGGACCTTCCGCACTCGAGGCGCCTGGCACAGAGGCACGAGACCACCCAAGGTGTGCAGGCTCACTGAACGGGGTGTGAACTCCAGTCCTGTGCTGCACACGCCCCCTGCCCCCCCCAAGGTGCAGGCTCACAGAACGGGGTGTGAACTCCAGTCCTGCACACGCCCCCCCCAGGTGGCTCCGCCCCCCACCCCCCTCCCCCGCAGGTGCAGCCTGCCCCCGCCCCCCCGCAGGTGCAGCCCGCACCCAGGCGGCTCTGCACGCACCTCAGTGTGGTCTTGGTGCCAATCTCCCCCAGGTGGTTCAGGGCCTCCTCGCTGATGTTGATGCCCTCTGTCTGTGCGCGGATCTTAATGATCTTTGGGAGAAAATCACTTGGTCACTGGTGGCCAGCCACCCCAGGCGCCCACCTTCAAAGGGTGCTCAGCCCGCCGGCTGCTGGACGGGAAGCTGAGGGCCGGCCAGCCTGCGGCCCTGGGCAGCCCCCAGGCGGCTCGCAGCTACGGGGCTCCTGCGGGCTGGCCGGGGCCTCGGCTCTGACCTTCCCATGGCGTGGGCACCCTGCTGCAGGCCACTCAGAAAGAGAAGACGTTTTTATTTGTTTGACAAATACAATGGGTTAAATAAATCAAAAAAGTTACTCTTAGATTCCCTCTAGCATCGCTGCGATCTCATGGGGGGGGGGGGGACTTGTCGCCGTGCCGGGGCGAGGCTGGTGGCAGCGGCCCCTGTAGCGGGGAGCAGGGGTCTTGCAGGCGCCCCGGCACTGAGTGATAAGGGCCGGCAGGATAATGATGCTGTGTGTTGTGCAGCTGAGATAACTCGAGGACTTCGAGCCTCATATAATACAGGAATTTTTCACTCTGGCAGCTTCGTAAACAAGATATCAAGAAGCGCTTGTTTAAATTAAAGCTGTAAAAATACACCAGGACAGAGGCACAGGAGACACGGAGTGCTCGCATGAGAAACAAGGTTTCGGGGATGGCCCTGCCACCGCTCGGCGGGGGCCGCCGGGCGCTCAGGACTGTCAGCTGCCTGCAGACAGGAAGGACTGGCTGGTGGGCGGGGCGGGCCCAGCGCCACAGGCCAGCTGGCGCCAGCAGCCTGCACCGCAGCAGGGTCCACACGCCCAGACTTCCAGCACGTGTGGCTGGCTCAGTCACCTCACACACGCCACAGTGTGCTCGCTGATGCAAGCTCCACAGAGGCTCGGCCTATGCACCAGGGCTGCACCACCGGGCTCAAAGCTAAACGCAGCCCAGCAGAAGGGCCCAGGAAGTGACTGGACAGGAAGCTGGAGGGCGGAGCCTGCTCCTGGACAGCGGCCATGGCACAGTTTTGGTGATGGCTGCAGACAGAAGCCTCAGGTTCTACAGAGAAACATCCCCTGGGAGCAGGGAGCCGTGGGTCCTGCAGGAACAATGTCTCCTGGGACCCCCTTCAAACTGCAGGGCCTGGCGGGGCAGGGCTCCGTGGAGAGCACACGTGTTCCTCACAGGCCTGTCTGTGGTTCTGTTCTACCCCCGCACCGTGCAACCCTCCAGGGAAATGCGAACATGGACTCAGCTCAGCCTCCAGGATCTCCAGGCCGCCCAGAGGCTCCCCTTCACTAATGAGACCTTCAGTCAGTGATGCGGTGTCTGTGCAGACCAGGGTGGGCTGGGTTCCAGCAGAAGCCAGGGCCCAGTCACAGGCAGGAGGCCCTTGGAGAGGCTGGTAGACCTTGTGGCTGTGTGCAAGGCACGGCAGAGCCGCACCACCCTCCTCCCCCACCTCGTCACGTGGTTGTACAGAGCCGCGCCCGCGCGTAGTACCTCTGGAACAGGGCGCTTAGGCCACAGCGGCAGAGGGAGCCGCGTCTGGCCCTAAGGTCCAGCCACCTCGAGCAGCCCTGCTGGTCTCCACGCCCAGAGCAACCCGGGAGCCCAGTGGCTCAGGCCGCTCAGCACACAAGCATTCCCTCCCTAGCCACACAGCTCTCCAGGGCTCTGGCCCCTGGCTGGTGGCCTTTTCTGGCAGGGCCCAGGTTTGGTCTCAGTAATGGCTTCAGTGTCTGCAGAAATGACAAGCACCCAGCAGGGTGGCACAGAGCTGGTGCCCACAGAGGGACAGAGCAGACCTCCCGCAGCTGGCCGCTGCCCACCCTCCTTCGCTCAGGGCTGTCAGCAAGTCCGTTCTTTCACCTGTCCCTCCCCTCGCGTTACTGAAAAGGCTTTTGCAGAAGAGAGTGCAGCCAGAACCCCAGAGTGGAGTTCTGCACCTGCAGGTATGTCCACACGGTACAGCCAGCCCACAGATGAAGCCTGAGCCACAGGGAGGCACGGGGGGGGGGATGGGGGGGAGAGGACGGGACAGGGGGGGGAGAGGGCGGGACGGGAGGCTCACCTGCTTCATCTCCTGGGGCGTGTACAGCATGGTGCGGATGATCATCACTCGGTCCAGAAGGTCCAGGGGGATGCCGTGAGGGGAGGTGATGTCCTCGGTGCCCCTGGGCGGCAGAAGCGCCCACCCCCAGCTTCAGACAACACTGACCCGGCACGAACGGCGGCCCCACTTACCTCCCAAGAGAATCAGAGCAGAACCACCGGCCCAAGAAAGCCCAGTCCCCACTGGAATAGGGGAAAGCCGGGGAAGGGGCAGGTACGGCAGCACCACAGCCAGACACGGGAAGGTGGCTCAGTGGTAGAGGGCTTGCCTAGGATGCATGAGGCCCTGCATGCCACTCCTCAGTACCTCATACTCAGAAAAGGCCAGAAGTGGCACTGAGGCTCAAGTGGTAGAGCGCCAGCCTTGAGCAAAAGCTGCTCAGGGGCAGTACCCAGGCCCTGAGTTCAAGCCCCAGGACTGGCAAAAAAAAAAAACTTTAAAAAGCTCATCATTATGTTTTGGTTCCAATTAGATTTATTCTTGGATCCCGGAGGTTTATTGCTAGCTTGGCCTAAGACCCACTGTTAGCTTCCACGTTTTACCGGCTGGGTGATGAAGCGTGACTGCGCCTCCTCTAGGCAGCCAGGCTGGGGCTTGGAGGCACAGGCCCGATTCTCCTGGGAACCCAGCAAGGTGCCTTGGTGGGAGAGGGCTACTGCGCTTCCAGAAACGTTCGCTAGGGATGCACAAACACATGCAGGGTTCACAGTAGTGAACCCTGGACAGACCTGCCCAGGGCCTGCGAGCACACAGGCTCTGACACGCGCAGCTGCCCCATGGGCAAGTGGCCCTCGCTGGGGCCAGCCTGGCGGGGGCGGGGCACCGGGTGCCGCCGTTACGCAGGAGCGGACCTCTCCCGGTGGCGTGCGTGCGTGCTGTGTGCTGTCCTCAGAGCCCGGCCCGCCAGGCCCCCCCGCATCAGGAAGGGGGATGCTGCCGGGGGGGCTCCTGGGAGCACGTGCCCAGCTTCGTGACCCTGGGCTGAGCCGGCCGGCCGGCCAGCGGCGGCCCGTACCTGATGACGCAGTTGCCGCGGTTGGAGGCGAAGATGACGATGGGCGCGATGGAGGACTCCAGGGCACGGTGCAGGTAGGTGAAGCACTCGATGTCCAGCATGTGGACCTCGTCCACGAACAGCACCCCCGGGACCAGCTCGGCGATGCCCTGGTCGATGTACTTGTTCACCACCTTGTTGATCTCCCCTCGGAGCTTGTCTGGGAGACGGGAGAAAGGGCAGGCCAGGTGGGCGCGGGGAGAAACCGCCGCGTTCTCTTCTCCCCACCCTCGTCAGCCCAGCCCGCGGCGGGGCCTCGTGCGCCCTCCACGAGGCCCGGGAGGCAGCGCCTGCCTCACTCCAGGCTTTATTCAGGGCTGTCGTCCCCAACAGGGACATCCCCACGCTGGCAGCCTCCCTGCAGATGCACAGCGAGGCGGCCGGCCCGGCTGGCCTGTCACCCTCCACGCCGAGCCTTATCTCACCCGCACCCAAGCTGCACCCAAGCTAGCGCGCCTCACGCAGACACAGACGCACCAGATGGGGGCTTTCATATGCAAATTTCCCTGTCCGGTACTTTCCTCTGGCCCCTATGACAATGTCCAGGTTAATTAACTTTCAATCAAGTATGGCTGGGCCCTCTGGGGCGGGAGGGAGGCAAGCTGAAGAAAAGCCAGTAGGACTCCTGAGGATGTCTCCAAGTTACAGACCCCATGGAAGGTCACAGCCCTCCCTCTGCGAAAGGTTCCGGAGTGTCTCCAGGAAGGAGCTGGCGCACCGGACAAACCTTCCAAACCTTCCACCGCAGCGGTCCGACGAGAGGCACACGCAACATGGCGGCCCCTCCGGGCCGGAACCTCCAAGGTCACAGTGCCCTTCATGCCTGACTCACATTTATGTTGACAAGGCTATGGGTGGTAATGAGGCAGAGGGCACACAGTTCGGGGCAGCATCAAATGCACGAGGGCGTTGCATTTCCTGCAGAGCTGTGGCCAGCAGTGGAGCTGCTGTCAGCCAGGGTGGCAGCTCAGCCTGCCAACACTTCTTGGTCCTGGGGGACAAGAAACTGGCCTCCCAAGGCCAGAGTGCACACGGCGGACGGCGGGGCAGGTGCGCCGACGCTGCCCTGCGGGGTGCCCTCACCTGTGATTTCTGTCTTCTTTGGCTTCATTAGCTGGCCCATCATGGACAGGATGTCTTGTCCTCCCTGTGCAAGTGCAGAGCGTGGTCAGGCCTGCTTCTCAGGGGACTGTGAGGCCCCTCCCCACCTCTGCCCCCCACAGGCCCCTAGCGCCAGCTACCTGGGGCCCGGGGGGACCCACCCGGGGCCAATCTCTCTTTTCTCTCTCCCAGGCACTCGGGCCTGGTCTCCATCCGTGAGCCTCTCTGCGCTGCACTCTGCCACTTCAGCCAGTGCCACTTCCAGCTTCTTCTCTTTATTGGAAACGAATCTCACGGACTTTCCTACTCTGGGCTGGTGTTGAACCATGGTTCTCAGATCTCAGCCTCCTGAGCAGCTAGGGTTACAAATGTGAGCTACCAGCATCTGGCTGAAGATTTCTTTTTTGCAGTTTTGGGGTCTTATACTTGCTAGGCAGATGCTCTACCACTTGAACCACACCTCCCCTTTTTGCTTTTGTTATTTATTTTTCTCCAGCACAGCTTTCTTCTGGCCCAAGCCTGCCTGGCTGGCACCTACCTGCCCTTCCCATGCAGCTGGGGTGACAGGCAGGCATCACCACACCCAGCTTTCTTGTGGTTGAGATGGGGTCTTGCAACCAAGTTTGCCCAGACTGGCCTCAAACCACAATCCTCCTCATCTCACCCTGCCAAGCAGCTACTCACAGGCACGATCCCTTCTCTGAACCCCTCACTGGCCCCCCAGGCCCTCTACAACCCAAGCCTTCTCTGAACCCCTCACTGGCCCCCCAGGCCCTCTACAACCCAAGCCTTCTCTGAACCCCTCACTGGCCCCCCAGGCCCTCTACAAGCCAAGCCTTCTCTGAACCCCTCACTGGCCCCCCAGGCCCTCTACAAGCCCAAGCCTTCTCTGAACCCCTCACTGGCCCCCCAGGCCCTCTACAACCCAAGCCTTCTCTGAACCCCTCACTGGCCCCCCAGGCCCTCTACAAGCCAAGCCTTCTCTGAACCCCTCACTGGCCCCCCAAGCCCTCTACAAGCCAAGCCTTCACTGGACTTGGTTCCATCTGCCAGGAGGGCCACTCCTTCCCCAAGGTCATGTCAGAGGCCCAGGGCAGCTAACCTACCAGAGATCACTCACACCCCTCCCTGACACACACACACACAGCGCCAGGGCCACATGTTCCTGTGTCCTGCCTCACTCGCCTCTGCCCCAACCCAAGCAATGTGCCAACCAGGGTCTTCCCACCAGCACCTAACAGTGGGGTCAGGAGGAAGGGGCTGGTGTGCTGTCACTGCCCCAACGTTAGCGGCTGCCTGGCGGCCAGCACCTGGCAGCCAGCAGGCCTTGACTCAGAGGCGCTCGCTACTGGTCGGAGGCTTCCTGAGTACTCACTTCTGATCTTCAAATAGCCCTGCTGGGGGAGGAACTCAGGCCATCCAAGACCACGCCTCAGAAAGCCAGGAGTGCTCCCCTGGTGCAGAGTGACCCCCGGCAGGGCCCGCTGTGCTTTTTTTTTCTCTGAATCTCAACAGTCTGAGCCAGGGCCAGTGGTCACACCTAGCTACTCAAGAGGCTGAGATCAGAGACTATGGCTCAAAGCCAGGATGGGCATGAACGTTCATGAGACTCTTATTTCCAGTTAACTGCCAAAAAAAAAGCCAGAAACAGAGCTTTGGCTCAAGTAGAAGAGCACTAGCCTTGAGCAAAAAACCCCTCAGGGACAGTGCCCAGTTCTGAGTTCAAGCCCCAGGACTGGCCCAAAATAAATCAAGTTAAATAAGTGAAGCAAACCTTTCTCAGAAATGTCATAAAGTGGCGACATACTTTCCTGTTGATTAGACGAGGTGCTGCGCATCCACCGTTTGTCTAGAGAGCAAGCACAGCCCCTGCTCAGAGCCCACATCGCGGGGGCCCGGGGGGTGAAGGAGCCAAGCAGAGGCCGCACCCACGGCTGTGCCCAGTCTTCCGAAATCCTGCACAAGGCCCACACAGCACTGTGCTAGCAGGCCATGGCCACGAGGGCGTGCAGAGTCGTCCAGGGCTGGAGAGGAGCCATGGGGAAGCTGGCTGGCTGGTGCAGGGCCAGACCGCTCCCAGGGACAACAAAAAACAAAGCATAGGAAACGGGCTGTGACCGGCGCCTTTGAATGGGAACAAAGGAGATCGGGCTCTCGTGTCATCCTTAATTGCTGAACATCACAGACAGAAAAGGACCACCTGCCGGAGAGGTGGCAGGGAGCCTGGCTTGGCTGGGGGTGTGGGGGGGGAGGAGGGGCAGTACCTGGGGCCGGGCGTTGGCCACATCCAGGTCATGCAGAGTCACATCCTGGATGATCTCCTTCTTCTTGTGCACGTCGCCCTTTGGCAAGGGGACGTACTCTTCAGCTTCGAGGTCAAACTCAGTGGCATAGGTGTCGCACCTGCCCTGCCTCTGCGGAGAGACACCAGCACCCGGTGAACGCACACCAACACCGCCCGTCCCCAAAGGGCTTCCGTGTGCTTCTCCCCAAACTGCCCGGCAGAGGGAAGCTATCTGCTCATCGCCGCCCAAGCTCCCCGCTGGAGACACCGGATACTTTCTCCAAGAGTTTGTTCCCTCTGTTTCTCTCAACTGTGTGCAATTCCTGATAAAGGGCAAATCGCATAGATTAACTGGAGGCAGAGAGGGGAGCAGCCCGACTCCTTTGTAGGTGGGTGATTTATTGTAGATATGAAGTATTATGCTCATCCATTAAACAGTGAGGAGCACTGTACAGGACGCCGAGAATCAGATAGAGAAAGAATGCCACCTAACGCAGCAGCGCGCCTTCCCACATGCATATATCTCGGGAAGCAAATACCAAGGAGATAAAAGGAAGATTAAATACGTTGCACATTTCAATTTGAAGATGACTAAAGTTGTTTGCCTTCTTACCCTGTCCCCGTCCCCTCCAAGCAGGCTCCGCTCCCATCCCGGGAAAGTTAGAGAACGGGAGAAAGGCAAGCACACGTTGCTACGCGTGGGGGCCACCCTCCCCTTGGCGCTGGCCCCGAGCGGAGGCCAGCCCCTGCCCCGTGGCACCTCTCCCACACAGCACCCCAAGACAGTGTTACCTTCACAGCCCCGCTGTTGGCCTCAATGTAAATCACATCTCCAGCTTCCACTCGCTCTTTCTGCAGGCTTTCAAAAATACTGGGGTCCAGCTTAGAAACAAACAGACCAGGGTGACTCAGACACAGCAGGTATGCTCCACCGCTTCCACAGCCCTCCAGGGAAACCCAGGAAGGCGGTGCCGGCGTGGGCCTGGATTACCAAGTGGGAGCATGAAGCAGAGACCAGAGGAGGGTGGGCGGGACGGCGGTGTGCGTATGCGGAGCCCTAGCAGGCAGAGACATCTGCCCTAACCCTCTCCAAAGAGCAAGCTGCTCTGCTCTCCCCACGGACAGCAGCAGAGCTTTCTGTAAAAGAGGCATCTGCCAGCACCCTGTACCAGCCGGCATGCTCAGCAGCGCTGAGTCCCAGCATTGTCATCTACAGGCCAGTGAGTGGGTGCCATCACAGATGTGGGAAACACCGTCCCTCAGGCCTGCCTGCTGACTGACGCAGCAAAGACAGGGACTGCGGCTCTCTTCCAAGCGGTCCGATCACTGCAACCAATCCCCAGCAGCTCCTTCGTAAGGACCCTGAAGTCAGACCGAGGTTCTCTATGTTACCTAACACAGAGTGGAAAACCAAAACTAGAGAGCAAGAGCGGAGGGCTTGGTGAAGAAGCCAGGCGCAGAGGAACACGTGCGGTCCCGTGTGGCTCAAGTGTCCCCAAGAGACCTGAAGACAAGAAAGCAGATGAGCGGTGGCCGCCTGAGGCGCCGAAAGGTGTTGGAGGTGGGAAAGGATCTAAAGCTGGACTGTGGTGGCGGCGGTCCATGTAAATACATTGGGATTCTGTAAACTGCATGCTTAAGGTGAATAAGTTCTATTCAAATCCCATCCCACCGGCCTCGGCAGGTGGGTGGCCATGCTCTCCTGGCCGGGCTTCACAGGCAACCTGCAAACTTAGTACACACCCACCCGGCCCCTGAGGCCCTTCCACCCCCGTGTCTTAAAGAAAACGTGCCTAACGGCTGCAAAAACAGCTACATTGCACTACACGCCTTGTTCCAACATGAGATACACTGAAGGGTATACTTTTCTTTTTGCCTCAAGCATTTTATATTGGTTAATTTCCCAAATGAATTGACTGAGCGTGTAATTACTGAAAAGGCAGCATACCTACTAAGAAATCTAATTAATACAGCATGGAAGTGATGAGGGGCAGGTATAAGAGAGATTATTTGCAGAAGCAAGCTCCTGAGATGAAAACCCTGTTAGGGAAAAGAAAAATGGCCCTTTGACGAAGTGACATTTTTATGGCCTCCATAAAGCTGTGACCAAGAAACAACCTTACAAACCAAAGACCCATAAAATTGTAGAACAGAGTAAAGATGGAGATAGTATATGGCCACTCCACTGCCGTTTATAGATGAGAACACTGAGTCTCAGAGAGCTCAAATGACTTCCAAAGGTCACACAGCAAGTTGGAGGACAGAGAGCACGATGGTTAGGATTCAGTCCTGCAAACCAGCAGGACAGCTGTCTAGCCTCTTTGTGTAAACTAAGGGAAATCAGAGACTCAAACAGCTACAGGTGAAACACTTGCTGATGCGGTTCAACCAACACTGGTAACGTCACCTACTTCTCCTAGCCCACAATGACCTCCAGATACTACCGCGCAGGGGTCAGCAGGTGGCTAACGGACGCAGGCGTGGCCGCTCAGAGCCAAGACATCCTTCCAGCTCCCCGCCGCCGCCGCCCGCCTACCCAAGGTCTGAGGACGATCGAGCGCAAGGCACGCGAAGCCCAGCCCAGCGGCCTGCCGGCTCTCACTGCCAGTGCGTGGGAACTCAGCTGCCCACCCCGCAGGACAAAGGCCTGAGCCCCCTGGCCAGGCCTCCAATGCTCCCGCCCGGGGCCGCCCAGCTCACCTTCAGCTGCTTGGTGCCCTTGGCTGTCTTCAGTCCTATGATCACGTGGCTGATGGTTTTGCCGTAGCCCCCCATTGGGTTCTCTGTCTCACATGGGGTCAGCTCTGTCACCTCCCCTTCATAAACCTCCTTGGTCTCCTTTATTCTCAGCCCTGGAAGAGAATCAACCCTAACAGCATAAGGTCAGGGTAGACAGGAAATGCAGCTGCATACATGCAAACTGCAAGTATTACTGAGAAATGTGGGAAACGTGATCTTACCTCAACTTTTTAAAAGGACTTTTCCCCCCTTTTCAAAATATTTTTTATTGCGATTAAGTGATTACATAAATTTTGCAGTATGGTGGGATAATGATACTTAAAGTCACAAACACATTTTAACTTTGACGGGGCAAATTGTCATGATCGTGGTGTCTGCAGTTTGTGAGTTTTACCAGCGTTAACAATACAACTAGCTCTTCCACACTTCCCTTGTGCTTAGTGTGAGCTGCTCCCTCGTCCCCTCCCTTCGCTGCCCTGAGCTGCTTAGTTCACTGTCATCAATGTCCGGTGCAGCGGACAGCCCTCTGTTGTGTATTTTCCCACTTCCCTCTGATTCTGTGCCTCCTCCTGGCTTCCCTCAGATGTACACATATATATTCCATTTATGTGGTCAAGAGCACGGAGTCATTTAGAAATGATGCAACAAATTGAATGGAGGTCCTTTGTTTCATGAGTCTGTTTACCTTGCATTTTGAATTTAACATTAAAAGACTTTCTAGGTTCAAATCTAGAACTAGATATACAAGCTGTAACTCTCAACGCTGTTGTAGACGTACAACTGAGAAGGCAAAACCTACCTTTTGTGCCTCACCTAGCGTTCATTCTCAGCCGTCGGCAGCTTTTGCTCCCTGCTCTTCTGACTCACTACCCGCGTCTGACACACTGGGGCCAGCCCAAGGCCTGCCAGGGGTCAGAGGTGACCCTGCCGAGCCCTCCAGGCCTCCAGCTGGTGCTCCGAGCACACTGACAGATGCACCAAGTGGTCCTGCTTTGTTTGCAGGGGGCTGTCCACAGCTGTCCCAAGGCCACAAAAGTAAAACAAATAATTTCTAGAGCATTTATCCCCCACAATATACATTACAGTTTAAAAACATGACATTAAAAGGTGAAGGAAATGGGGCTTGTCTATTGTGATTTCTAAAACAGTGATCTGAAGTTTATTTTATTTCACACATTATGTATATGGACAAAGCAGCCAAGCCCCCAAGAAAACGCAACTGTGATCATGTTTATCCGCAGTTTAAAAGCAGGCACAACTATACGACGTTAGAAATCGGGATGGTGGTCACTGGGAAGCCGTTTTGGGGCACGGGCAACCCGGGTTCCTGCCTGCGTAGCTCAGCCACACGGTTAGGCGGTGTGCACGCTGTGCAGGTGAGCACACAGCAACTAGAAACGTGCCGTGCGCCAGGGCGGGGCTCACGGCTGTGGGCGCCATCACACCCACAATCCCCAGGCCCTGGCTGTTCCAAATCTCAGCAGCGGGGTAAACTGGGGAGGCCAAAGCCCCCGTCCACAGCCGGGCCCCGGCGGCGTGCTGCCCTCCGACCCCAGCGGCACGGTGCTCTCCATCACTCCCACTCCAGCGCACACACACTCCACCCGCCAGCTCTGGAGGAGCCCCAAAACTTCACTCCCTAACATCAAGACGGAAACTTTGCAAACAGCACACCAGAAAACAGCGACAAACCTGGAACTTTCATCAAACCTTTTATGTCCCAGAGATTAATTCCGCCAGACGGAACTCTACCCTCAAGTACTGTCAGCTGACTGTGACCTGAGACCTCTTGGGAGGGGGGAAGGGCACCTGTCTCTCACTAGTGCCCGCGCCTGCTCAGCAGGGGCTCTGCGGGACAGGCAGGAGCAGGAGGGGGGGCGGCAGACAATGGCACGGGCTGTTAGCAGGGAAGGGGCGGGACGGGCGCTATCTCTGGCAATGACAACACGAATGACACCGGTTTCATCTGCCGGCTCAGGTTTCTAAACCTCTGACAGCGACCTTCATCACATCAAGGAAACAGCACAGACTTGTGGCTTTTCATTTCTGGTGGTTCACTGCCTCCTCCCACCCCCACCGGAGACGGGCAGGGCTCCTTTCTGCAGACCGCCGATGACCAGCCCTTTTGTTCACTGCGTCTTGCTGCCATCAGAAGAAACACACTGCCTCGTCCTTCAGACACACAAATCACAGCACAGATGCAGCAGTGTTCTCTCGTCTCTACTTTTTAAAGTCTCAAGGTGTTAGGGCTGCCTTTAAGCAATAAGTACATGTACTCATATGAAAACCAGTTTGTCACCTTTGGTACATGTCAGAAAACAGTTTGAAATAGCTATTTCAAGTAGGTGGGACATCACGAATGTCATCACTGGCAGTCAGGCACACGCCTGTAATCAGGCACTTGAGCCTGAAAAAATTCAATGCAAGCCTTGAATTTGAGGCCCTGTCTCAAAAACAAAAGAAAAAAGAAGAGGAAGGGGATGAGAGGCATGTGTAGAAAGGGTGGTACGCACCTTAGTTCCAGCTGCTCAGGAGGCTGAGGTGGAAAGCGCACTTGAGCTGAAGATTTTGGGGCCAGTTTGGCAAAATAGCAGGATCCTGTCTCAAAGAAGAGAAGGACTGCTGGGTGCCGGTGGCTCACGCCTGTAATCCCAGCTACTCAGGAGGCTGAGATCTGAGGATCACGGTTCAAAGCCAGCCCGGGCAAGAAAGTCCGTGAGACTCTTATTTCTAATTAATCACAGAAAAAGCCAGAAGTGGTGCAATAGCTCACGTGGTAGAGTGCTCACCTTGACCAAAAGGAGCTCAGCACCCAGGCCGAGTTCAAGGCAAAAGTAACACAAAACTTAGCACTCCGAAGGGCCCCGCCCTCGCTGGCTCAGTCACACTAGCATGGGACAGGAGGATACAGGAGGGGACAGGACCCGCCAGGGCTCCCGCTGGCCTCAGTGCACTGCACAGATGCACACACCCGCCAGGGCTCCCGCTGGCCTCAGTGCACTGCACAGATGCACACA